AAAACTGGACTGACTTTGTTTGAATTTATGCACAAAGCTACACAATGGGCTATCTATGCTCTGCTCACCACGAGTATCGAAACCCAGTTTCTAGCGTTGTAAGTCCGCAGACATACCGCTGTGCCACTGGGGGGTAACTTACTTTGTAACCTTAATAACAAATAGAACTGAACCTTCAGGATATTCGTAACTAGTTGGAGTACTCGTCTGTTGGACGGATGAAATAAAAACTAGTTTGTAACTAAGGGTAGTAAATTGTGCTTATTTTCATTTTCTTAACATAATAACCAATAAAAGTGCAATAAAAATACATAAAGGTGCCAATACTGAAAAGAAAGACATACTGTTTTCAAGAATCCTATCAATATGAAATTAGATGGTGGAGTCCAAACCCCCTCATGACCTTCCCTATGTCATCCCGTACCATTTTATCAAGTTGTGCTGATTTGGTAGTTTTTCCGAAATTAGATATGAAATTAGATGGTGAGGTCGAACCCCAATACCAACCTCCTCCCCCCTAATTACCTTCCTTATATCATCCCGTATCACTGTGTCAAGTTTGGTGGTGGTTGATCAAAAAATTTGGAAACGTATAAGGAACAAATACACACACATGGTGACGTTTATATATAGAGAGAGGAAGTAGAAGTGGCCTTATTTGATATTCATAATCAGAAGTAGAATTACTTAGTATTCATAATCAGAAGTAGAATTACTTAGTATTCATAATCAGAAGTAGAATTACTTAATATTCATAATAAGAAGTAGAACTGGACTTACATGGTATTCTTAATAAAAAAGTAGAACAGTTTACTTCTGTAGGCTTAACGACCGAATTCAAAATGAATTTAAATTTTTCTCAAGGCTGCAGTTTTTTGAATAATCCATATTTTACTCAATTGCTTACACGTTGGCCACATAGTCAAGGGCTCAAACACGGAGCAAACAGGATTAAAGCACAGGAAAGTTTATTACGAACCATCCTAGAAGTTTATCAAACAAAAGGTCTCAGAATTTTGTACACCACCTTTCTAAGGCTATCGATTAATAAACTTACCTTTGTTCAATCTAACATAGATAAATGTGTCAACTTTGATGAGCAGTGTAAACTAACTATCATTTGCTACTTGTGATAACTCAAACCTAAAACAACAACAACTAACGAACATAAGGATAAGCCTACCTTATAGTTCCGTTTATTGACAGAAGTGTGGAATTAATTAAATTAGAATCGGTAGTCAGAGCCACTTCTACACAACATTAGTTACCTAACACTTGCAGAATTAAATACCCAACTATCAGCTATTCTTGCAGGAGTGATGTTTCCAGTAATATAGAGTGTTGCATAACATGGCCATTGAAGATCTACGCATCCTCCCCTTTGAATGCTTTAAATGCGAATGTAAAAAAAAAAAAAAATAGTCGTGGCAGGAATTTAGTATGAAGAAAGAGAAAACAATATGATAGTTGCCTGCTCTTCCCAACGGGGGTGCTCGGTAAAGGATGTAATTCATACCCTTACATTTATTCTCCTATCGACCACGTGCTCACCGGTAACCTTGATATCATGAGTAACCAAGATTTACGACTACTTATGAGTAAAGGTTCAAAATTCCAGGAATGTCCACAAATTAATTGGAAACGCACCAAAAGCATAATTAGTACATTACTCATCGTATTTTACATAATTGAAGTAAAAAAGAGAATTTAAAAGTGATCATATTCAGAAACTGGTTAAATAAGTTTTCCATAAATACATAATATACGTAAAGAAACTCACTATTAAATATCAGTAAGCATGTTATTGGTCAGGAAGAAGATATTAAACATTTAGATTATTTATATAGTAGATACTAGATACGTCATCACTCCCACAGATAAAACGGGTAATAGCTGTATTTTCACCTGTAAAAAATGACATTATGATTTTATCTAAGGAACTAAGGTTTAATTTGAATATACGTTACTATCAATATAGAAAGTATCACAAATAAAGTTGGTTCAGTTTGATCAGACTTTCTGTACATTCGTTTAAATCAAACAATGTTATGCTTAGAATATTTTGGATCCCTATATTACATAAAACGCCGAACAAATACAGATTTATTGTCATGGCTAGAAAAGCTACGTCTAAGAAACTATATATTATCATTGGTCTGAAATGCTTTAAAAAACATTAAAAAATACTGCAGTATTATCAAAGATAGAACCTACATTAATCCATTCATTATCATCGGTAGTTCCATTGAATGTAAAGTGAACATTAAACAATAGGAACTTTTGATTTCAGTAATCTTTACACTACTCTTCCTATTGATAACATTAAAAGACTTTCATCAATAATTTCAAAATTATTCAATAATTCGGGTAGATTAATGTTATGCATCAGTAATCACAGAGTTTTCTCTGATAATGCCATTCACAAAAAATCACTGTTTCACATTAAGTGAATTTTTGGAGGTTATATATATATATATTTACTTGTTAATACATTTGCATTTTCTCCAACATGTCTTCCAACATATATAGAGTATTTTACCTGGAGGTAACTTCAGTCCAAAAGCTGCATATCTGTGTTTATTCGAAATTTTCATACATTACAAATCTTATTAAGAAATACTGTAGTATATTTTTGTTAAGTACCAAGTCACGCTTGCACATATATAAATGATATTATTATACGAATTATCAAGGTTTTCTAGATACAGCCGTACAAATTTATCCAACAGAGCTCATTCTAGAAAAATGCTCTGTCATTAAAAAAAAGCATGATATCTGGATTTAGATATCAGAATCACTAACCAAACACTCAAGTTTAAAGTGTACAATTAAACGGACATGTCAAATTTAAGGTTATCAACTTTCCATTTCCAAATACAAGATTTTGTGGATATAACTTGTAAACTCACTCTAATTTTTCATACTCTCACTGCGAAAATCAAGCACAAACTCATTCAATTCTGTGAGAAAATCAACAATATTCTTGCTACATATTAGGTGTTTAGAAGTTTTATATGATATCGCGACCTTTTAAAAATTTCACGTCTACCTTTTGATTCCTAGGGTAATAGTGGATGGCTTTAATGTACTGACCATCATTGGTTTTTACCTTCATTTAGTTTAAATTAGTATATATATTTGATGTTAACCGTATAACAGTTCCATGTATATATATAGTACAAGCTGAGGTATACGTCCTTTGTCCGGGTTATGAACTTAAAAAATGTGGAGATGGATGCTATGGTAAATAACACAAAAATCCTAACTTTCACACACTTTATTTATAACATAACATAACATATTATTACCCTATTACCTCATCAAAAGTTTTGTATAAGCTTTAAGAGCTCAATACGTATATAATTAAAACATGATATACACTACGCGATGGTCAGGGTGACTTTATATGAAGAGGTAGCGGCAAAATAGTGGTGGTAGGGATGCTTTCGATAAACCGCTTTCAACACCCATTTCTTAATGTCATTTTACAGTGTTTCATGTGATTAATTAATTGACAGTTATTGACCACAGAAGTGTCTTACGGGCCGAAGTTGAAAGGTCACGAGTCAAAGTAGGAAATGAGTATAATTCAAGACACGGCTCCTCATATCAGTTTTATTGTGGCTGTTGGAGTAGAAACTTCAGCCTTTTTTATTGTATTCCTCCATAGAGAGTGCTAGTGCACACTCTGAGACATATATAAGATGTTTGTATGTCCTCCTACACTTTTTATATTTTTCGTTATAGAAAGTTTAATAAACTTTGTGTGTGTGTGTGTGTGTAAGGACGTGATGCCAGCTATGAATGTAGTAACTTTGACTTACATCAAAGATAATAAATTCTCAATAACAGCGAGAATGTTTCAAACTGTCATCCCACAAAGTTTGGTTGAGATTGGCCCAGCGACCTAGAAGTAGTTAGATAACGGATAAACAGACAGAGTCAGATTTTTGATGACGGTACATCATTAATTTAGTTAGACTAGTTTTCTTTGCTATATTATCTAGCGTTGTTGTATCTTTCTTTTGTAAGTATTATTATTATTGGACTTTCTATTTTCTAGAGCCTTATCACGTTTTCTTTTAGGCTTTTAGAGAATATTTAACGTAATTGATTACTTCCTGTAGCCAGCTCTACGTGTTTGTTAGAGGAGATGCTTAGAGTAAGAGTGATTAACTTTGTTATACACACCGCATATTATGTTTAGAATATTGTTTCCTTTGTATTACATTTTCATGGGCAGTTAAGGAATTATTTTAATTTTTCAATAATTTGTTATCTTCATAAACATCAGTTTTTAGTTGTACCGTGGGAAAGTTACTGCTATTAATGCGACATAATTTAAAAAGTAGCATGAGTCAAATACAGATGTCACTCGCCTCTGAAGCATCACTCTAGGGATAGTTTAATGAGTTTTTGTTGGTTAAAAGACCGGAAAGGAAGTAAACGAAAAATCAACAAGTTATACTAAGTTCAGGTTTTCAAAACAATTTTCTTCTACGACAGTACTTCAAGCAAACAGTTGGTGTTTCTACTTTAAGTGTTGTTATGGAAAAAATTATTTAGGTAAAATATACTATATTTATTGTTATTTTTGTTAACAAAATTTATCATATCATTTACTGTATCGAATGTCATTACTTTTAATTTTTGCTTATTGTATTTTATTATAAAGATTGTTTTGCATTGTTAGTTTAATTTACGCATTTGAGACTGAACTAAATATCCTAGGCTTGCCGAACCTCGTAAGATATTATTGGGATTACGGTCGAAAATATTGTTAATAGCGAAGGTACCCAATTGATGAACGAACGCATTCCAACCTTTATAAGTAGAAACATATATTTAATTAGCTGTACTGATTGCAAGGTTGATTTTTAGTTTCGCTCCAAGTACATAGCTTCTTCTGATCGAAGTTAATTTTAATTACTTGGTATTCATAACAAAATATAAAACTAATCTTATTTGGGATTTATAATAAAAAGTTGAACTGGACTTACTTGGTGAATAGAATGGATTCTTGTTTCAATCTTCGTGAGTTTCCATTTGGTTGGTCTGGACTGGGAATAGCATGAAAAATAAAAGAGAAATAAACAAAGAAACTGTATGAGTAAAATTCATATTTAAATATTCCAAATGACTTATAGCGAACTCTTGCCCATAACTGTTACACTTAATATGTCCGAGGCAATTCTATACTTTTTTTTTCGTGCATGGCTTATTGGCTAATTTGTATGTAATTGAATTTAAAAGGTATAGTCATCTGTTAGTGTTCAGTGTGAATTAATTAGTTTTGATTATACGTTACCAAATCAAAACAGCCTCGGGTTTATTTGAAACGTTATTGGTGAGTTTTGTTCGTAACAAAAGAAAACGTGCAGTGTGAGATGCAAAAACTATTAATTCTACGAACCTCTTGAAACAACAGATGTTACGTATACATTATTATGTGACTGAAACTCTATGCTCTACACTTAGAGTAGTACATAATCAAGCTCTATCTACTTAATGTACGTAACAGAATTATCACACTCTACGAACTACTTGTATACACATAAAAAAATGTTTCGGACATTTAAAGAAGCAATTAATTGACACGGTCTTATTAATTATTGAAGAGGGAAGTGAAAGTATTCATTAAAATGATATCGCTAGTCGAACATTCGGTTGGAAAGAAATTAAGTTAGAACATGTTATATACGTCTTAGATTTTAATTTATTTAGTATCACTGCCAGTAGTCGAGACTCCAACTTGAAGGTACAATTTTGAATAAATGTGCAATTAGTTAGCTTATTCATATATAATAAGTTGGGTAGATAAGATAGATTAGTAGAGGTTTTTCAAACACTTCGTTCCATTTGCTTAATTACAACTGACATGATTATATGCCACTGAATTACATAACTGATCCAGAAGTTTAAAGCTATGACTGTTAGTTTTCTGAACATTGTCTGGTGAAGCGGGTGTTTTTCCACTATTCAACTTTCGTCGGTTTGTTCCATTTAGCGCCTTTTTTGTACCGTAGTTTGAATTACTAAAACTGATAAAAATAACTTTTCAATTCATTTCGTCTGCACATGCCTCAGCTGCTTTTTGTCTGCATGATATTCATGTTATACATATTATCGCTCAAGGCTACTTATTTAATATTCTATTAACTTAAGAAACTTCTTGTTTGTGTTTTTATGAAAAGCCTTGATTCAATAAACAAAGCGTTTATAAATTATTCCACAACCAATGAGATAAGTAAGCTTGGATTGTCTTTTTCGGCCATCTTTGGCTTTGAGAGGATATCGCTCCTAGGTGGAATATTATTTTCTTTCGTATTGATATGTTAATTATTTGCTGAATAATTGAAAGTCCGAGATTTTGAAAAGCTCTCTATTGTTCTTCTCTGCAATCCCTAATGTAAATTTTTAAGACTTTTTATTGAATAAGCTCATATTAATTTATCTACTCAATTGTTAATAGCAATAAAGAAGTTTCGGGTGTTAGAGTCCATTGTCTTTCTTGAAGAGGGAAACTTTACGAAAAAGTCAGGTTATGGATCACTAAAGCTATCTAAAGCCTTTCGTTGATGAAATAGTTACTTGCTGAGACAACTTGGGGTCTTTATACAGGGTTTTGATTGCCTAGATGTAATAATAAGATGTAATTGTAAGTTGCAGAGATAACTTGCGGGTCTTTATACATACTATTGAGTGTTTACATAACTAGTAAGCTTTTATTCAGCATATTGATTGTCTACATAACTAGCAGGTCTTTATACAGGGTATTGATTGTTCACATAACTAGTAAGCTTTTATTCAGCATATTGATTGTCTACATAACTAGCAGGTCTTTATACAGGGTTTTGATTGTCTACATAACTTGTAGATCTTTATACATGGTATTGATTGTTTTCATAACTAATAAGCTTTCATTCAGCATATTGATTGTCTACATAACTAGCAGGTCTTTATACAGGGTATTGATTGTCTACATAACTAGCAGATCTTTATACAGGGTATTAGTTGTTATAGCTAACAGGTCTTTATTCAGGGTATTAATTGTCAACATAACTAGCAGGTCTTTATACAGGGTATTGATTGTCTACATAACTAGCAGGTCTTTATACAGGGTATTGATTGTCTACATAAATAGCAGGGTATTGATTGTCTACATAAATAGCAGGGTATTGATTGTCTACATAACTAGCAGGCTATTGATTGTCTACATAACTAGCAGGGTATTGATTGTCTACATAACTAGCAGGTCTTTCTTCAGGGTATTGACCGTCTACATAACTAACAGGTAATTACACAGAGTATTGATTTTCTAAATAACTAGCTGGCCTTTATGCAGGGTATTGACTGGCTAGATAATTAGTAAGTCTTTATTCAGGGTATTACTTGTCCACATAAATAGCAGGCCTTTATACAGGGTATTGATCGTCGACATAACTAGCAGGCCTTTCTACAGGGTATTGACCGTCTACATAACTAACAGGTAATTACACAGAGTATTGATTTTCTAAATAACTAGCTGGCCTTTATGCAGGGTATTGACTGGCTAGATAATTAGTAAGTCTTTATTCAGGGTATTACTTGTCCACATAAATAGCAGGCCTTTATACAGGGTATTGATCGTCGACATAACTAGCAGGCCTTTATTCAGGGTATTGATAGTCTACATAATTAGCGAGTCTTTATTCAGGGTATTGATTGTGTGAATAACTTGCGAGTCTTTATTCAGGGTATTGATTGTGTGGATAACTTGCGAGTCTTTATTCAGGATATCGATTGTTTGTAAACTTTGCAGGTTATTATTCAGGAACTTGATTGTCTGTATAACTCGCTGGTCTATATTCACGGTATTGGTGATAAATCTTCAGCTTAATTACACTTTTCGTTTTTTCACTCGACTAACAGTTTTGCAACAACAACAAAAAAGAATGTCAGTACTTTTTAAACACCAATATATGTATCTTGAACAAAAACAATCAAACATTGTAATTGAAAAAATGTTTCCGAAAAACTGACAGGATGACCTGAGATTCAACACAAATGTTAACCAAAAGAAAAAAAAAAAGGTCGACGTACAAAACGTAATAGAAATGTGAATATTTTATATCTGAATACATTAGAGAATAAAGACATGAAAATATCTTGGTATAAAATCATTAATGTTTCAAAATATAGTATTAACATACCCTATAATATAAATGAAGAGTCCTCTTTCGGCGATCTTTGCCTTGACATTAGAAGATGCATTTCTCGTTTCCTTCTACCTAGAAATTCTGATCCCATTCTTTTTCCCAAAAACTCAGAGCCCATTCGCTTGCCAAGAAATTCTGATCCCATCCGTTTGTCTTGATAATCTGTTACAGTGTCGTCTTCTTCATTGAAGTCATCGTTAAAGTCTTCCATACGTTTACCCAGAAATTCCGAGCCCATTCGTTTTCCAAGAAATTCGGAACCCATCCTTTTGCCCAAAAACTCGGATCCCATCCTCTTGCCCAAAAACTCGGATCCCATCCTTTTATTGGCATGCTCAGAAACTGACCTCTTCCCTAGAAACTCAGACCCCATCACATGATATGCTGGTCGTTTGAAATCTTCTCTCTTGGCGTCACTTTCTGGAAGTTGGTAGAGAAAGGATGACAGATCTCTTCCGTATCCCGGATGTAGTTGCCTCAAGATACGAGGAAAAGGTTCAAGTGTGTACAAACCTGAATAGAGGTCGCCATTGTTTGGATCAAAAAACGTCGCTAAAGTACAGCGAAGATAAATTTAAAAAATTAGTTCTCTTTACCTCTCTGTTACTTTTATTACACTTGATTTATTTAATTAAATTTATTTAAATGTTTATTGTTAAGGTTTCATCCTTGAATTTTATGTCCCCACCTCCAGTGACACAGCGGTAAGTCTGTGGACTTGTAACGCTGGAAACCAGGTTTCGATACCCATGGTGGGCAAAGCACAGATAACCCATTTTGTAGCTTTGTGCTTAACTAGAAACACGCACAACTAAATTCTGCTAAAGAAAAACTATGTCGAAAGGTATTAACTAAACGTAAAATACGTTAATATGTTTTCTTTTTAGACACTGTTGTAAATATGTTACCGTACTTCCAAGTGGAACTATGAATCCTATGAACTTCCACCATAGTGTAGTATCTAGAAACAGTTCTTGAGGAAGGACGCACATTATGCTAACATAATAGTATGTTCCACCATCAATAAACTTCTTCCTTGTGTTTATAAATCGTTGTTCGCCTACCTATTATTAGAAACAGTACTGTTGAACAGTCATGCAACAAATACAACGTTAAAGACGGGATTGTTTACCGTCTTCTCAAATCATGCTTTAAATAAAATATTACAAAAAAGAACTACTGTCTTCTAAGCTGTTACAGTAGCGTACATTATTAAGAAGTAAAAAATATATTAGAACAGTTTGTTTACTGTTTTCTACCTCCTACACCAAAGAAAACATTAGAAACAGTATTGTTTACAGTCTTCTGAGCCCCTACACCAAAGAGAACATTATAAACACTATTGTTTACCATCTTCTGAGCCCTACACCAAAGAAAACATCAGAAACAGTATTGTTTACTGTCTTCTGAGCCCCTACACCAAAGAAAACATTAGAAGCAATATCGTTTACTGTCTTCTAAGCCCTTACACCAAAGAAAACATTAGAAACAGTATTGTTTACTGTATTCTAAGCCCTTACACCAAAGAAAACATTAAAAGCAATATTGTTCACTGTCTCCTGAGCCCCTACACCAAAGAAAACATTAGAAACAGTATTGTTTACTGTCTTCTGAGCCCTTACACCAAAGAAAACATTAAAAGCAATATTGTTCACTGTCTCCTGAGCCCCTACACCAAAGAAAACATTAGAAATAGTATTGTTTACAGTCTTCTGAGCCCCTACACCAAAGAGAACATTATAAACACTATTGTTTACCATCTTCTGAGCCCTACACCAAAGAAAACATCAGAAACAGTATTGTTTACTGTCTTCTGAGCCCTACACCAAAGAAAACATCAGAAACAGTATTGTGTACTGTCTCCTGAACCCCTTCACCAAAGGAAACATTAGAAATAGTATTGTGTACTGTCTTCTGAGCCCCTACACCAAAGAAAACATTAGAAACAGTATTGTTTACTGTCTTCTAAGCCCCTACACCAAAGAAAACGTTAGAAGCAATATCGTTTACTGTCTCCTGAGCCCCTACACCAAAGAAAATATTAGAAACATTATTGGTTACCGCCTTCTGAGCCCTTACACCAAAAAAACCATTAGAAGCAATATTGTTTTCTGTCTTCTGAGCCCTTACACCAAAGAAAACATTAGAAGCAATATTGTTTTTGTCTTCTGAGCCCCTACACCAAAGAAAACATTAGAAATAGTATTGTTTACTGTCTTTTGAGCCCTACACCAAATAAAACATTAGAAACAGTGTTGTTTGCCATCTTCTGAGCCCTTACACCAAAGAAAACATTAGAAGCAATATTGTTTTCTGTATTCTGAGCCCCTACACCAAAGAAAACATTAGAAACAGTATTGTATACTGTATTCTAAGCCCTTACACCAAAGGAAACATTAGGAACAGTATTTTTACCGTTATATCAGCCCTTACACCAAAGAAAACATTAGAAATAGTAGTGCGTACTGTCTCCTGAACCCCTTCACCAAAGGAAACATTAGAAATAGTATTGTGTACTGTCTTCTGAGCCCCTACACCAAAGAAAACATTAGAAATAGTAGTGTTTACAGTCTCCTGAGCCTCTACACCAAAGGAAACATTAGAAATAGTATTGCGTAGTGTCTTCTGAGCCCCTACACCAAAGAAAACATTAGAAATAGTACTGTTTACAATCTCCTGAGCCTCTACACCAAAGAAAACATTAGAAACAGTATTGTGTACTGTCTCCTGAGCCCCTACACCACTGAAAACATTAGAAATAATATTGTTTACAGTCTTCTGAACTCCTAGTGTAAAGAAAACATTAAAAGTAATTTTGTTTATGCGTGTTTAAAATACAGAATAATAATAAAACTTATATAACCAGTATTGTTACCCGTCTCCCGAACCCTTACAATAAAATAGAACATCTAGTAGTAAAGAGAGACATTAGAAACAGTACTGTTTACCGTCTTCTGAAATCTTACAGCAAAAAACAGACACACAAACATTCCAAACAGTATTTTTACTTCTCTCCTTCCTCCTACAGTAGAGCAAGACGCCTAAAGTAAAGAAAACATTATAAACAGCATTGTTAGTTGCCCGTTAAGCCCTGAATATTGGCTCTATAAGACCTCAAGTTTACCACTGTGCCACTGAGTGGTCAATATCAAGTAAACTAGAGAAACATCTCGCAGATACCGAAACGTCAGGCAGTGAAGTAAACCAGAGAAACATCTAGCAGATACCGAAACGTCAGGCAGTGGTAAACATATTAATTTTCATTACAGTTTTTTAATACAAGTATAATTTACTATCCAGTAGTTTTATTTTTCATGTAATTTGCTAAATCACTACCTCAAAAAAAAGAACTATTTAATTAAAAAACTCTTTCACAGTTTTTATTGAAAAGCAAATAAAAAGTTTTTCGTTGACTCAAACCTATAACTTGACATTTTAGAAAACATCAGTCATCAAGCTGAATCGAAAGACATCCCTAACTTCCGTGACTGTATTCAGGTGACTATATTCAGACTTTCGATTCAGCGAGTTTAGACAACCCTAACTTCCGTGACTATATTCAGAATTTAGATTCAGTGAGTTTAGAAAGTTAGAAATGTGTAAACTTGATTTCGAATTCTCACCTTTATCATTGCTAGGGGAACTCTCCTGGGCTCGTGTCAAAATCAGTCCACCAATCAGCAAAAGAAACGATATCATGTTTAGCCAATGATAGCCGAAAAGTGAAGGCATCTTGAATAATTTATTTACCTGAAAGATATTAATTAACAAGTCAGTAGTGTGCAGGAAAAGTGGAGTCGCGATACGGGTGTGAAGATCACCCCCACCCCCAAATAAAATTGTCCATTCAGTAAATGTAGGCACCAAAAGTCATTCGATAAAATCTGGGCCTTCAGGTTTTTTTGTTTTTTTTTAAATACAACAGAAATCAAGAAAATGATTCAAATTTTACTGAATCGTGTGGCACGTGGTCTCATGAATGTAAAGATACACATCAGTAACTAGAAACTTTAGGCTGAATTATTTTCTACCGTACTTTTAAACTATAACATTGCACTGAATGATGCAACGTTTGGTTTACCAAATTCAAAACCATTCAGTAACAAGAACTTTCAGTTGATGATTTTGAAAATCCAACTAGAATTAAGAGGAAGTTTTAACTTTTACCGAATAGAAAGGGGTTTGATTTTACCGAATGCGAAACCATTCAGTAACAAGAACTTTCAGTTGAGGATTTTGAAAATCCAACTAGAATTAAGAGGAAGTTTTAACTTTTACCAAATAGAAAGGGGTTTGATTTTACCGAATGCGAAACCATTCAGGAAAATAAACTTTGCACTCTTTTTTTTGTTTGTTATTTAACCCGTGGCATCGATTATATCTAATTATTTTTTGGTATTGGTTCTGGTTCATTTCATTTGTTAGATTATCTTTAAAACTGAAAATCAATTAATAACATTTAATTAAGTTAACTGAAAAAATACAGTGTATCAAGGTAAAGATATTTTTAAGGGTACATATACATCGTCTACCATATTTAACATCTGTTTCCAAGCCACATGTACTTAAGATGTTTTATTTTGTTGTTATTGTTTTTTACTTTTACATATAATGATTTTATTTAATCAAGTTTCATATCGAAAAGTAAAACGCTTAGATTTCACGCTATATTATCGTCTCAGTTAGGGCCGAGCGTGTACAAGTGGTTAGCGTGCGGACTGTGTACCTGAGATTTACATTCCTTACCGCACTTTGGGACTGATATAAGACTGCGTTATAAGAGTGAAGGTCAAATCCCACTATTCGTTGTGACAAAAGTAGTCCTAGAGTTGAAGGTGGGTGGCGTTTACTAGCTACCTTCTTTTTAGCATATCACTTCTAAATTAGGGACAACAAGCGCAGATAACCCTCGTTTAGCTTTGTGCGAAAATTCAGCTTCTCAATTGCAGATCTCAGTCAGCCATTTTGCTTTTTTAAGGACAACAGGCTTTAGATAAATAAAAGTATTTATATTCTGTAGTTTATTCGTAAATATGGTTTTATTGTGAGTATGTATATATATATAAGCGCGTGTGTGTATTTGTTCATTTATCAAAAGACAACACACTTACTAAATTCATTTTAGTAGAAGATTTTAATTATACACAATTAGTTGAATTTACTAGCTACTTATACAAGTTAATTGGGCAAGTTAATATGTATATTTTATTATATTGAAGTATTCTTTGAAATACTAGATAATATCATCTTAGAATTTTATTGTTTCCAAAGGATACACGTAATCATTACAAATGAAATACATTGAATCAAGCAAAAGCACAAAGTATTCGACTTTCTGACGTCTGTAGAGGCTAGTTCGTCTAGCAATAATATCAGTAATGTTGTTTAAGACGATAACATAAACAACCCTAACACACGAGCTTAATAATCATCTGTAGTATCTCATCAAATAAAAGTTTTATGACAAATGTTTTGCAATGAGCGCCATCTGGCGACATACTAAGATCTTATCACAAAAATTTTAAATAAGCGTGTATAAATATTGTACACAAACCGACAGAACGATTAATCCTTTAATCAAGCATTTGTCTAATTATAAAACTCAAGATCCTTATAACAGATTCTGTATGTCTAACGTGTTCTGTAAAAATAAAGAAAGCAAATTTCCACACTGAGACACTTAATGTTTGTATAACTAGGCACTTACAATCTCGAGTTATTGCTGTTTCTTGTCTAGCATTACTTTGGGTCTTAGAATACTTCCCCCCATGTTTACAATATAATAACCCCTAATCACACACTGTCTATAGCAGTCACGATTTTCTACTTGTCCGTGTCGTCAGATAACATTTTCAAACACGGCAAGTGTAAAAATTCATTTCTTCGAATAATGAACAGTATAAAGTTTATAGAAGTATAAAGTTTATATTACTGCAACAATTGTTAAAGAAATGTCAAAGACAAAATGTAATACTCAAGTGAATTAAAGGATTAGCTTCTTTTTAACTTTTCAACCAGGTTATATTGCACGAATTTTAACATTTAACCACTCACTGTAAAGGTTTAGTGTGAATGTAAAACATTTTAACCAGCTTATATTAAACAAATAGTCACCCTTAATGAATGCTAGTGATTAGCTTCACTATAAAAACATTTAACTAAATTATAGAGCAGAAAGTTCACACATAATTATGGTAAAATATTATCATGAATATATAATGCTTTAACAAGGTTCGTTATATTACATGAACAGTCATACTTAACACCTGTTAATTAGTAGTGTTAATATACAACACTTTAACAATGCTATATTGCAGAGTAGTTACAAATAGCCACTTTATGTGATTAACGTAAATATAGAACATTTTAAATAGGTTATATTGTAGAATAGTCGCAATTACCCACTTTAAAACACTATAGGTAATAAACAATATTTTAACCAGGTTATAAAACAGAAAAGTCACTGGAAAATACTTTAATAATTATATAACATTTTAACCAGAATATACAACACAAATAGTCACACTCAACACATGTAAATGATTAGTGTCAATAGAAAAAAAAATTAACCGTGTTATATTGCAGAACTGTTACCTTTAAATTACATGAAGAGACATTATTCGCAGTAAAGGATTAGATTCAGAATTAACCACACTTACGTATTAACCTCAATATTTAACCGAATTATATTGCAGAATAGTCACACTTAACAATTATAAAGGATTACTGTCACACAATATTTTAACTGGGTGATATTACATGAATTGTCACTCTTGACCACTTATTAACATCATTAAAAAGATTTTAACGGTGTTAAATCACATAAAGAGTCGTACTTAACAACATTAAAAGATTGCATCAATATTAAACATTTTAACAGTGGTCACACTCAGTCATTGTATTAGGTCGTCAAGAAATTAATGTCGCTTTTCTTAGATGAAAAAACCCGAACAACTTGTATTTCAAAACAAAACATTTATTAAATGAAATAGTCTCCATTCTTATCGATGATGCTTTTCTATCTTACAATCTGGTTGTTAATGCCCTGATTAAAGAAATCACTTGGTTTTAAAGCAAAAAACATGCCGATGACCTCTTTAACACCTTCCACATTTGCATACGTTTTCCCATTAAGATGGTGTTGCAGCGAACGAAAAAGATGGTAATCTGATGGTGCCATATCTAGAGAATATGGTGGGTGGGGAAGAGCTTCCTAACCCAACTTCATAATCTTGTGTGACGTCAAATGTGGACGTGCATTGTCGTGGAGTAGAAGAACACCTTTGCGATTG